TAATGTATCCAGGTACTGATGGGCTGTGATGTTTGCTGGATCATATTGCGAGTGTCTTGAAGTGGTTAGCATTATTTGATCAGCTCTTTTAATGACTTTTCTACTTGTTGTTCCTCGTATATATTCTGTCATTTGACCAATGTCCCTACGCAATAATTCAATGTTGTTTAGGAGCCGTTTCTCCCAGGGTGCAACTCTGTTATCAGTCCTTGCGGCATTAGTACCCCGTCATGTTTTGATATTCCCATTACATTAGCTGTTGCTGCACAGTAAATAAGCATATGCAAATATTACAGCGTATTCAATCTTCGTCGAGCCCCAGACAAAAATCCTCATCAATTTCATGAATAAATCATGAGTTTTTTAAATACTATTTCAAATCACATTGAATCGAACACATAACATGAGAAAGTTAAAAGAAATAAAAAAGATTTTTTCCAACAAGCTCTAACCATATTTTTGGCAGGTCTAATAGAACCCCTAGGATCAACAATTCCATCCATGAGACCACCGAATCTCGCTCTTGCTATCCGATATATTCAGAAAAAAAATAATATTAGATATCTCCAAAAATCTCATAATTATTCCTTATCATCTTCTAACAAACCATCTGCCACTTCACAAACGACACATACACCCGCTCCTACACGATGGCAGCCTGAGGTACCCAAGCCCCAATGGACATAGCCATTCTTTAGGCCAAATCAAATGCCTTTGCAACAACAGCCATTCAACAATAGTCCAAGAGGGACATTTCAAGATTCCCCCTAGATTCCAACAAAAACAACAAATCACTCAATATGCACAAAATTCCGATATATTCAGAAAAAAACATAATATTAGATATCTCCAAAAATCTCATAATTATTCCTTATCATCTTCTAACAAACCATCTGCCACTTCACAAACGACACATACACCCGCTCCTACACGATGGCAGCCTGAGGTACCCAAGCCCCAATGGACACAGCCATTCTTTAGGCCAAATCAAATGCCTTTGCAACAACAGCCATTCAACAATAGTCCAAGAGGGACATTTCAAGATTCCCCCTAGATTCCAACAAAAACAACAAATCACTCAATATGCACAAAATTCTACAACTAACCAACCCAATTTTCATAAACCAGATCCATCTCAATCATATAAGCCAACACCTATTAGCGTATTCACACGCCAAACCGGCAATAGACCCCAATCTCAAAGAAACTTCCGCTTTCAACAAACAGCCAGGCCCCGATTCACGGTAGGAGAGCTCTTTAATATCGAACAACAAGAGCAATTAAGACGAAGGTATATAGACACATACCCAGATTACTCTTACTATGAATAAAAAATCCAAGAATATAAGGACGAAGATGTAAATTTTCAAAGATTTCAAAAAGAAAATGAAGAAACTTAGTAGAATTGCATTCCTTTGCTGACAAAAGAGAGCTTCCTTACATTAAAATTCAAAATCCCCCTCTTAAACTTCTTATTGATACAAGAGCCACTAAATATTTCCTTAATCCTGATATAACCAATAAATTCCACAAAAATAGTATTCAATAATATGAACCAGTTGCTACATCAATTTTTCAGAATCATTCAGAAGGTTATTGTGTAGAAATTCCAATTTTTCCCGAATTGAAATTAAAATTTTATATTTTCAAAGTTTACAAGACATTTGATGATCTTAATCTTAAGGCTTCTAAAAGCAAATCTCGATTTTACCCAAGCTACTCTTACTACAGCGCATTCTATTCTTCCTATTAATTACTATGGCACAAATAAAGCCCAATTCTATACAGTCCACCAAGAGCCCTAAACAATTATACAAGTCAAATTTACAGTAAAAGAAACGTCAGGTAAAATCGTCATCCCAAGACAATAAGTCGAAGGTGCCATCCTTAGAGAAACTCTCACCGTCGCATGTAATCAACTTACCTGGACCGAGCTAGTCAATAACACCGATGAATATATTCAAGTAGCAATAACTGATCCCATCAAAAATCAACCAATAAATCTAAGAGATGTCGATCCTTTCCTAAGAACCGATCATTTTAATACAAAAGAAGAATCTCACCGAAGACGACAGTGCAGGAAGTTTGCATCATGCATATTTCATCATTCAGACAGTCAGTTAACATTTACTAACCAAATAAACACCATATACGAACAAGAGATAAAGTTCCGGTTTACACCAAGTCAAATCGGTATCTACACATCCATAAGGATGATCGATCAAGAAATCATCAAACCGAGTCAATTGCCCTGGTCGTTCCCAATGTGGGTCATTCCAAAGAAACCAGATGCCCAAGAAAGATTAAATGGCGAATAGTTGTCGACTAGAGGAAGGTGAACGAGAAAACCATCGACGATCTATATCCAATTCCAAATACAACAGACATTCTGGATAAACTAGGACGCTGCCAATATTTTTCCACCCAGTTGAAGCCAGCGGATTCCATCAAATTAAAATGAAGAAAGAAGATATCTAGAGAAAATGGCCACTAGAAATACCTAAGAATGCCAATCGGACTCAAAAATGCACCCTCAACATTCCAGAGAGTAGGTAATGGAGAACATACTAAAAAGACTTAAAGGCGAAATATATCTAGTATACAGGGACATTTTCAACCTCTCTTTAAGAACGTATGGTAAATCTTAAGATTTTTGAGAAATTAAAAGAAACAAGATTTAAAATACAAGTTGGCAAATGTGAATTTCTTAAGAAAAACTAATGCTTATACTAATATAAAAATTACCACTAATACTTTATGCAAGCAATACTATTGTTTATAAATACTAAAATAATTAACTAAAAACGCCTAAATAGGTTTTTAAAAACTAAATACGTTTTTTATAGATATATTACTTGTAGATGGAATAGTACAGTATCTACTATTGTGTTTCAGCATGCCAGATAAAATTTATTCAAACCGATAAGATTCTTATTAAATCTTGTTGTAATTTGCCAAAGTGTTGTACAAAATAATTGATATGGCAACCCTGCTAGTATGACGATACGCTTGAAGCGTTTCGAGGCCGAAAGTAATGCAATCTATCGATGATAAATACTACCAACGTTTGAGATGGAGCCACCTCTCTAATATACAATTTGATGCCGGCAATTCAAGATATAATTATTGTTTAACGAGATTTTTCATATGTTTAGGAAAAAATATTCAACGTTTTATTGCAAATACTTTCCATTTTTACAGTTTTATATATGTTGTTATTAAATTTTTTTCCGGTTTCTTACCGGTAGCTTTATTATAAGCCGAAACATAATATTTTTTTCCATTGTGACATAACTGTAAATTCAAAAATTTTCAAAAAATTCATCAGTATTTCTTAGGGTTATATCCTTATGCTGTAAGAAAATTAACAAAATTGTATGTCTGGTTTTCCCGCTTTATACTTGGAAAAAAGTAGTTTTTTAGAGTTTTTTCGAAAACGAAAACATGAAGTTTGTTCAAAATTTGTCAAAATACTTCTAGTTGTCACATATACCTTCTCAATTTTTTTCACATTTTTTGAATTTGTAGTTTGTTTTTTGGGGGGTGCAGATCAACCTTAAGACTGAATGCAATAGCTATAACAGAGCTACGTAGTAACAACATTTATTTTTTGTTAAACAAAACTTTGGTCCAGCAATGGGCTCTTCTTTATCTCCATTATTAACATATTCATGGCAGAATTCAAAAGAAAAAATGCATACAAACAAGATTTAAAAAGTGGAGATACACCACACCACAATATGGTGGAGATATGGCCTCATGGACTAGAATCATTCAATAAATTCGTGATGGACAATAGGAATAGATGGGACCATTGAATTGTTTTAGGAAAAACTAGGATGAGTAGAATTTAAATACCTTCGCACCTACATAGCGGAAAATGGGACACTAGGCTGAGAAATTGCCTAGAGGGTACAGGCTAGTTGATTTAATTGGAAGCAAATGAGCCAGGTAATCTCTGATTGAAAAATCAGGCAAGGGCTGAACGGAAATATATACAAGAGTGTTCAGGAAAAGTAGATAGAGGCAGCTGAAATGAAAATGTTATGGTGGGTGTTGAGTAAGACTAGAAGGGACAAAATTAGGAACGACGTGATTAGGGAAAAAAGAGCCTAGGGGGTGACCTCACTCTCAAAAAAGTTTACGAACAAACCTGGCGATGGTTTGGTCACATCAGTCATAGAAATGAGAACTATGTGGGATGAAGAAGAGAGCTGTTAGAAGTTGAGGAAAAGAGAGGTAGGGGAAAACTGAGAAGATGAAAGGACTCTGTAGCTTGGGCATCTTTTGATAAAAATGCAGTCATATTCAAATCCAGAATGCCACTCCATCTAAAGAAAAAAGCATTTAATCAGTGTATACTACCAATCATGACATACAGCTGCGAAACTTAAGACTCTAAAGAAAGAGTTAATAAAGAAACTTAAAGTCAGTGGAGCGATGCATGCGGGGTATAACAAAGAGAGATGGAAAAATAATAGAATGGATCAGACAGAAAACCAATATCACTGATGTAATCTGCAGATCCAAATCTTTATAATGGCAGTGGACGGGAGGGGCATTAAGCGAGATGATCTGACAATAGATGGTCCACATAGAAATGTATTATAGAAATGAACAAATGATAGTGACAGCTACAACATTTTATTTTAAAGTACAACCAGTTTTCATTGTTACAGGACTCTTTAGAAGATTTACTTTACTAACATTGCCAAAATTACAAAGCTCATAACATACTCTCTCCAAACACCTGCCAAAAACCAAAAATCTTGTATGAATGTCAATACACAAGAAAAAATTACCTATCAGACCAAATTAACACTTTTTCCAAATCTAGATCACCTATTACCAATTTCTAAACAAAAAGTTATGTTGAATTATCAATGAAGAAGCTCCTAGAAAGTTTAAAGAAATCCTGCACACAAGCAACTATCACAGGATAATAACGATGAACAGGAAAATGTTAGTTCATAGAACCTAGCTTTAGTCAAAGTACTTACCATTGGATCCTCTTTGCAGATAATCTTGATATCAGTCAAATGTTTGAGTATTGGAACATCGTGAGGTTGAACCATTTCAGACAGTAGGCTGACATTCCTGAAGATTGTAAGCCAGAAATCAGGAACACCCTTTTCGTCTTTAGGTTCTGTTTCTTTTTTAGAATCATCTAAATTAATTTTTTCTTTAATGGCTTCTGGAAGATCGGACTCATCATCAGATGACCACTGAGATTCTTCATCGGTAGGTTCGTATTGGCCGCTCACAATGGTATTTCTTTTCTCGTAAAGAGGCTGGTACAACTTGTGGTATTTACATTCTAGATTATGTACCTAAAACAATTGTGGGCTAAATGAGGCTAAGTTAAAACACTTACAGCTTCTAAATATATCCAAATCCTATGCCAGAAGAGATATAATAGTATAAGAAGCATGGTTTATCTCTAAATGTAAAAGAACCTTTAGTTTTCCACGTTCTCATACAACTTCATCTGATTTTAATTATTTACACAAAATGTCAAGCGAAGTTGATCAGAAGTTACTTTTCTTACCTCTTTGAAAAATTTAGCTTCAATATTAGTTGCCTCCAATTGGATTCTCTTTAGAGCCTTAATTCTTCTCTTCACTGAGGTAGGTAAGAGTGCAAGCATCGCAGCATTCCTCTGACTTTGAAGGGCAGCATAAACGTTAGGAAAGTCTAGTTGTTTGGAGCCATCAACTTCCTCTTCTTCGACAGATTCAAGATCGTCAGGACAATCTCCTTGTTCATTTTCAGTTGCCATGTTTCTGCAATAAAAAATAATGAGTAGCAAAGGACTTTTTTTATTTAAATTTGTATTTTAAGGAAAGCAAAGAATTGTAGACAAATTAAGTTGATTTTGATCACCTAGTGTGGTAGTGACTAAACACACAAAAAGTGGGCTTTTAGAAATTCTACAAAAATCAGCCATTAATGTCAGCTAGAGTCAAAGAATTGACAATGTTTGGTCACTTAAAGATAATATAACAAGGATGCAACCATTCAAGTAAACAAGATAGATAGAAAATAGGGAGGCAATAGCCTGGCCTTTCTGACTAAGTTCAACAGCCTTGATAGTGGTTTCTGTATATAGTCTGATGCTTCTGAATTTTATTCCGTGATTCTAGATACTGTAATCTTGCAAGACATTCGCTCTGGCATAAGGCACATAACTTCGGATTTTGACTTGTAACTCTACTGTAAATTTGGCTGAATGGCCCTTGATAAACCCTTGTCTGCCTCAGTGCATTTCCCTACTTTTTGGGAAACTTAATTTACACTAATGTATGAATGGGTGCCCTTTCCTGAACTTTGGCAATTCTGAAGAAGGTTTACAGGCAAGTGGAATGCCTACTCCACCAGTTCATTACTCCCAGTCATTTCCAATAAGAGTAAGTATATTCAAATGGTTGAACAAGAGCTTTGAATGACTGTAAAGAACTGAGTTTCTTCAGGACTGCTTGACAGTAGGAATAGATAGCAATTGTATCCATCTCTATCCCTTCTATCTGAAATACTGTTGTGTATGTTTCGAAACTCAACTGAACTTCTGTCTTTGGTCTTGTTTTATAAATTTCAGACTCTGTACCTAGGTTAGATATGGAATCATCTGTATTCCAAGAAGATGTTTCTTATTTCCAGAATGGAAGAGGCGGCAGGAATATATTTACAATTAAAAACAGGGGTAAAAGAGACAGGACTAGAAATAAATATTACAGATAAAAAAGCTATTGAATATATTGAAACCCTAGGAAGTTTCACATATCTGGGAGTTGCATTAAGTAAGGATTGAACAAATGAACCAGGAATTCAAAGAATGATAGTAAGGGGAAATGAAGGTGATTTTTCACTTGCCTATGTGTTCCACTCCAAAAACTTGTAACACAATATAGCAGGTCACACCTGCTGACGTGAAAGATGGGTAATAATGCAAAGGGAATTAGATTCCAAGATAGTCGACTGAGATTTACCCAAAGAGTAAAAAGCATTACTAGCCTCAATAAACATAGAAATTGAGATGTAAAGCTAGAACTAAATATCTACTAGCTAGATCAATAAGGAAATAAAAGAATACAAAAAAAATGCTAAATAAAGCAAACTAATTCCTGGAATGAAGAATTTTATATTTTTGTGAAAACCTGTGTCTGCCTGCCCAATTTTCATTTATTTAATCTACAGTCTCCAAAAATCTCTGCCTAACTAATTTATTACACTTTTTAATACAACTGATGAAAACACATTAATCTGTTAAATCTTGATAATTTTCTATTTTTATAATTTAAATAAAACATGTGAAGGTCACTAGACATAGTGCAATATTTTTCGTATTCATATATTTACTGAATTACCAATTGTTAGTTTGTTTTCTTTAATATTTATTATGCGAATAATAATTATTTTAACATTTCTAGAAACAATAACAAAAATGATACATAAAATAGAAATATCACATAAAAAAGACAAACAACATTGATATAAATAAAACTGACAATGACACAAAATATCAACTGTGTCAAAAAAAGTTTGGATATGTTATTCTAATGTCATAAAAGGCATTACATCTAACTATAAACACGTGGAAGAAACATGAGATATGAATTCAGATCATTTCTTTATTCTCCTCACCATCAGAGAAGATTCTTCTTCTTCGTCTAGCCACTCACGTCCACATATGAACATAAGCCTCTTCAAGTCTTCCTTTCCATTATACAACTGTGGAACAAATTACCAATAACATTTAACAAGCAGCTGTAAATAATACATCAACTATTGCCTAAAGAACTAAAAGGTAACAATATTAAAGAAAGCTGAAAGAAAGAAAACTGCATCAGGACTAGAAACCCATCAGATAAAATTATTTTGAACAATGTCACAAGAAAACTAAAGAGAGAAATCAAGCATATTCAGTAATAATCCATTGTGACTTAACCGCTAACATCTACTTACTACCTGTGGAAAGACACTAAATGGCTTATAATATCAACTAATAGTTATGGCACCTGTGCCCCCAGTAATCAACATAAGGCGACAAAATTTGCAGATCATCTAAAAAATATATTTCTACCACATGATAAAAAAGAACTCTACCACATGATAAACACAAATTGTAACAAATGATGAAATGATACCAATCAGCAACATTACTCCTAAAGAACAGAACCAGAAAAATAACATGAACTTATCTTATTAATGGGGAATTTTAAAGCAATTAAAAAAAAAAGTATTGTAGAATCCACCTTTATATAATATATAGACTCAAAAATATTGTGAAGTTGTGGAAAGCAGTGGAAGTGATTATTACTGAGTTATTAGTTATTAGTACATTAGCTTAGAAAAATTTAGATAGATTGGGTTAGATAAGTTGTTCTATTGGTGAACAGATTGGGCTGTTACTGTGAAAGCAGTACAATAAAAAAATATGTTATTCATTATAAAAGTAAATCCAACAGCGTCATTGGCACTCTAATCCTGTTTACACTAGTTTACCAAGTGAGGGAAACTACTAAATATTGGATAAAAGCTTCCACTAATTTTCTGAATTCTTCAATATTTCTTGTTACATTCGCCAACCTTGGGCCAGTAAATGTTATAAAAAATGGGTGAAATCATATCCCAAACAATTATAGTATTATTTGAAAATATTCAACACCAAATTTAAAATTATTATTTAACATCACTGCAACAAGATGCAGAAAGAAGTTTATTTAAATTTTAAAGAGTTAAAGAGAAGAGCAGATCCAGCAAGAAGGAAACAATATGCAGTACTAGAGAGTATAAAATAAATTTGTACTTAAAATCTGGAAATAAATTGGTTCAAAGTGACACTGTAAACAATATAAAACAGAAAATTATACTAAATGAATACACATATTTTGGCTATACATTAATTTTTAATATGCTTTATATTTCAACAGGTATACTCCATTTTAAATTACACAACTGAAAATCTCCAACAATTGTGTCATAATCTTTTATAATTTTTAATAAACCAGTATTAATGTGGTTACCTACATAAACTGTTCAGATATAAAATATCATTAAGAAACACATAAGTTTCTTGAGCTTAAAATTTTCATTTGACAAAATTTCCCATTCTCAATTTTAGAATTTTTAACATCTAGTGCAGAATTATTAGTTTTTTACTAATAACTAATAAAAAGCAATATTATGTGAAGTGTCCATAAAAATGGCACAATCTTCTAATTTTACTCCTGTGAAATTTAACAGTGCATTTGCAAACTGCAATTTTAAATGTACATGACACTTTGTGTATTAGTACTATGAACTATTACAAAAATACTGACAATGTCAACAGGAAGAAAACCCTAGCATCTAGAAAATATAGATGATATTGTAAAACAAACAATTTATAACAAACACCTACCTTGGATAAAGTTTTAACAGACGTTAATGGTGATAAAACTTTAACAAACAAAAAAACATGAGACAAATTGTGGAGAATTCATAACTTAAATTAGTCTGAAGATTTATAACTCATGAAAAAAAAAACAGAAATTTGAAGATGAAGTATTGGTTTGGTGTACAACTTGGCTTCTTGTAATTATGCTAGAATAGAAAGCCTGCTTAGAAAAATAAAAATAAGAAAATTTTCCAAATTTGCTTGAAGCTAGAAATATCAAGAATTTTAAATTTTGTTATGAAGAAAACTTACAATGAATGGTAAGCTATGAAGAGGTACAACTGAAACAACAGACTTTCAAAAGATTCTTGAAATTGATGTCAATAATACCCAAACACTTGAGCAACAAGCTCACGCAATACAGCAATGAGTCATCCATTATTTACAAATTGTTTATCATCTCAGGTTTATTGCTTATCACAAGAGGAGAAGACACAATTTTCAGATATTTTTCTAGAAATGTCTAAATTCTCTATTGTACAGGTTCCTGCCTGTAGTTTACCTTCACTTTGATTTACAATGTGTAACTACTATTCTCTTGAAATTTATTGACACATATTTCCTACAGCACTTTACAGCCTAAACCATAGGTATACTTACTGTATACTTCAAAAAAATTTTGTCTACAGAATTGTGGCAAAAAATATGTTACCTTGATAAACATTGACAAATTCCAAGAAAACTTAAGAATTATTGCACATATTATGAAATAAACCAAATTTAATTTTATGTTGATAAATTACTTATTTTTAGACTGTTTATCAAAAATTTCTAAAACATCAAAAAGATGAACCTTTTAAATGCTTGGAAAAGGGGTTATCAGATATTGAATAATAAATATCTAGATGAAGAATTAGTGGAAATATTAAATAACATTTCTTTGATACCATCTAGAATATCTTGCAAGGAACAATCACAAGCAAACCTTTATAAAAAGTGTAAAGAACTACATAAAAGAAAAGAGAGAGTAACAAAGAAAATGTAGATTGAAAAGAGTAAATGAAAGATCATGCCCCCCATATATTTTACTTCAAAATCCTGCCTAACAATTTTTGATTATTATATATGGTTTTTGCATAACTACAACAGAAAAATTTGATAACATGTTTGACACTTATGTTTTTGAACTACAAGATGCATATTTTAATTAAACATTAACAATTATTTTCAAAAATACTTTTGGAAATATATGAATATAAATATATGTGTAAATGTAAACATATTTTGAATATTTGGGCAGACATCAGTAAAAATCAAAAATATGAGAAACTGAGATAAAAAAAAGAACTGTGTAGCACAACTATAACTATTAAAATATATACCAGTCAGAAATATGATGAGAACATCACCATAATGCAGAATTTCACAACATGTTTACTTCTTATGAAGGATGACATTTTTCTCTGCCAATGTGAATACTTTGTGAAAAACAGTACCTAGTTAATTTTTTTTTGAACTGAAATCAAAAACATTGTATACCTACATCTTTAAATATATTTTGAGTTTGAGTTTGGTATTCTAGTAAAATAGATACTACTGGTAACGACACATCAGCAAACAGGCTTTAGTAAATCCGTCAGGGCGCAAATATAAATAATGTACTAAAAAATCTTACTTTTTAAAGTTAAAAATCGAGCTTGAAAGTAGTTAACTCGAAAAACTCTGCTGTACACGTGCACAAAACCGAAAACTAAGATGTCAAATCAAAATTCAATCAACTTAGACGTAATTCAAAAAACCTGCAAAACTACTGCCATTAGTAAAGCCTACTGTCTATGAAATAGTGGCAAATATTGTAGTAATATGAAGTAAGTGTATAATTAAGTTTTTACCTTTTTTGTTTAGCCGAAATGCTTGATAATTTAACCAAGCTGCACCAGTACCAAAGGCGGCAAATGGAAGAAAGAAAATTCGGATTGACCCCACTTTCGTCCTTGAATTTAACAAAAACTTCGTCTTATATATGCCATCGCGCATGTGTCAGTTTTCGGTAGTTCGACAACAGTGCCAGATTTATGACAGAAAAATATTTAGGAAAATTTCAATTTAAAAGTAAGCAATGATGTTCTGTTTTTGACAAATCTTATCAGCTAGTATTTGTTACAGTTCATTTAGAGAATAAAAATACTGATAACCAAATTATTTTACAAATAGTAACTTTCCATTTTTGTATAATATTTTTTGTTGTGTGCCATATTAAAGCATTCAAACGCACAAATTACTTTACAATTAAGCTTGTAATATAATACTATGGAATAAATTAATATAGTGTATAATATTTTATGTTTTTGTTATTACCAAATCTTTATTTAACATGAAATTCGTAGTGACGTACTTTTTGAATTCGGCAAAATTGTTAAATGCTGACCGATTTGGCAAGTGCACATAGTATTAAAATTGACAGCAGTGACATTGACATAAACACATGGCGAAGAATGGCGCGGTTTTAAATTTTTAAAAATAATTTGTAATTTAATAAAATTTTGTAATTTTCATTAGTTTCAAATTTATTTTACAAATGGCTTTTCAAATTTTATTTATTTTTCATGTAATTGATACAAACATAAATGTCGAATGTATTTAAATGAGTCACGCGCAAAAAAAATCATTTATATTAAATGAATCATCTTTTTAATCAGAATAAATGACCTGACTCAAGGCCTTTGAACTTGGGGAATGTGGAATGTGTATCATGTTTGGTCTAGGAAGTGCGGAGTGCAATAAAAAATTTGGAATGTTAAAATTAGATCACTAGCCAAATTTAATCAGCCACAAGCCCACAGATGTTGATATACCTATGCAGGATAAGGTTATCAATTCTAATTAGGCTGTCGTATGTTCTCTGTTCATTGGGGGTTTTGTATTATATATATGAGGTTATTTTTTTATCTATTTATCTATATTCTTGAATTTAAAAACACCTATAATTTTAGGCATACAGCTATGACAGTACTAAGAAGATACTGTTGTGGTGGACACCTTTTATGCCAAAACAAGACAGATTGATTAAATGCAATAAGAAAGAATATAAATGTTTAATAAGTAGCAAAAGGGAATATGCTAGTGATCATAGATTGGGTGTAAGTTTTTTTTGTATTTTGAAGTTATATGGAATGTCTAGAATGCCCATAAGTATGTATATTGTATGATACTGAATATTTCTGGAGGATTACTTAGTCAACTTTATTCTTTTATATCTAAATTTATTAGTCAAATGGTAATTTAAAACAAAAAATACATACTAACATTGGATCACATATTATTTAGAATAGACATTGATAATGAAGAAAACATGTTGAAAGTTCAGTTTGTTTAGAATATAGGAATGTAATCTGTCTATGGTATTTGAGTTTTCAGGTTGAGTTAGGTTAGGGGTGGGTTAGGTAAGATTAGAAGACATTAGTATAGACATTAATAATGACGAAAATTTTACAGGCTTCAGGATCAGTTTTTATATCAGAAGTTGGTTAGTTCCAGTTAAGTTGATTTAATAACCCTTCAGGATTACACATTTTTAACTATTCAATTTCAAACTTTTGTTACCTTTTAGGTTTTGAACAACTTTCCTTAGCAACTTTTTTAGTTTTTTGTCTATTTGACTACCTCCCAATGTTCTAAGCTAATTCTTATTTCAAATTTATGTAAATAATTTGCGTAATATGATTTATTTGACTATTTTTTGTCTTAATTCTACTCTATTCCTATTTTTGTGTTCTAATATTTATATATTCTATATTTGAATAAAAATAAATATTATATTATATTTTTCTTTTCAGGCAGTTTTATTCTATGGAAGTAAAATCTTAAATTATGATTTTCCATTACCAAAAGATGATAAGGTGCCTTGGGCTATTTTTCATGAAGAGTCGCCAAAAAATTATGCACCATTTTTGTATAAGGAGACACAAGACTTGTTCGACATTGCTTCTACATTTAGCCAACACAGTGACCTTCCCATAACCTTGCAGTATTTAAAAAACTTCAGCAATTTAATAGGTAAATTTTCCATGAAGGTATTAGTATCACATACATACACACAGTATACCTACTAAATATGTTATTAGCTAACAAACATGAGTCGAGTTATGTATGTTAGTCAGTGACATTTGGGCACCTACTACTTGTAAAGAAGTGGACAACATTGCCAACTATGTCCAACAATTTCTTTTCTGCACTCCAAATTTCATTAGACACACCATCACCTGCTAGTGATTTAGTGTACACAGGACCCCACCACTTTTCCTAGTAAAAGTGGTTTAAGTTAAATTGGCTGAAACTTTGCAGACAGGTTAGCTTTGGTTGTGCTGAACAAATCCTTGTGCACAGACTCAGGAATTAATTGTTTCTAAGTTACAGAGATCCAAATTGGCAGTTTTTAGTCCTTCTAATCTAATACATATTTGTATTGTAAAAGAAATTAGGTAGTTTTAAGAGTTGGTTATTGCACATTTTTTACATAACATACAATACATACAATTAGGAATTTTATATTCATCATTGGCGTTCATACAGGTAATGATCTCAGTTTTTTTAAAGGCAAAAATGGCATTCTGCTGAGATTTTTTAAATTAAATATCATTTTTTTATTCTTCATTTAATTTTTGTCAAAAAAACCTTTCTTATTTTTTTTATATGAGGCGCCATTTCTATTAAAAAAAAAATATAGTTGATGCAGGTTGCAGGTTGTTGGTTGCATTGAGTTGAATGCGAAAATGGCACCTCAATGGGCGTAAGTACACTTTTTTTTATTAATTTTTGAAAAGATTTTTTTAAATATCGTGATGTAGTAGTAAATTGTTTATGGAAGACATAACATTAAAAAAAATAAAACTAAATAGGTTTGACACTAGTGCAGTAAGTCAACTCAAAAGTTAATGATACTGTATGGTATCCATAGGCGTTTTGGAACTGCATAGTGTTTTAAGGGTATGCTATTGTATAACAAACTTGTAACGTTTTAAAAAAGGTTTTTCCCTTTCTAAAGCATTGGAGAAATGACGAGATATAGCAGAAAATGGATTAAATTTTTGTGGAGCTGCCTGACCCTAACGTGGAAGCTGACAGGGATTCAGTAGACGAAGATGAAGGAGGGATGCTTCACAATCTGAATGGTACAATTATTTTTATTTTTTGTTTCTTTTTGTTAAAATTTCAATATTTTAAATTTATAGGTCGTCAGTTGCGTGCTCCAGCTGAGATTAAATTGCTAAATAATGATAGAATTTCGATTTCTCCAGAAGAAAAGGATTGGATTTCCGATCGACTACAAAAACATTACCAGTCAAGTGGATTTCAGGCGATCTTCAAGCCATGCCTCGACATTTGCAACAACTAGTTTTTCTATGTATAAGATATGTCGCAGGTTGAATTATTTGAATTATTTTTTAATGAAAAAATTTTTGAATACCTCGCAGAGCAAACGCAACGCTATGCTCATTTTAAAAATGAAGATGAAAGTTCTTCAAAAATACGTTGTTTTTTCGGAATCCTTATACTTAGCGGATATAATAATTTGCCAGCAACACGTCTCTACTGAGACATGAAAGATGATACCCATAACAAAATGGTAGCAGAAGCAATGAAGCGAGACATGTTTTAATTTTAAAAATCATTCATGTGGCCGACAATACCCAAATCGATCAGTCTGATAAGGCTTGGAAGTTACGACCTCTAATGAACCACTTAAAAGGAAAAGTGTTTGGCCAATTTTCAACCTGTCCAGAATTTTTCATACGATGAATCTATGATCAAATATTACGAGCGCCATGGGTGTAAAAAATGTATCCCTGGCAAGCCGATACGCTTGGCGTAGAAGATGTGTTCGTTAAATACAATGGATGGTTATCTAGTCAGTTTTGATCTTTAACAGGGCACCGATCCTTGTGAAAACGTACAGATTAGCCAGTTGGTTGGAAAATGTGCAGCACTGCTCGTGTTAATGCTAAAAATTACCAATGCCACAATTGCCACATATTTTACACAAAGATAATTTATTTACTGGGATAAACTTGCTGGCATATCTGAAGCAGATGTCCCCTCAGACTATAACCTCCTTGTCTCAAAAATAAAACTGAGGGTAAAAAAGATAATAAGATCCAAAAGTTCTAAGGTGAATACTCAGTTATTCAATATCAATGAAATCCGTGCTGAGACTTTAACTTGTATTAATCAAGAAATGAATAAATTAACATCAGCAATGAAAAACACTGAAAATGTGAACATTATGTGAAGCAAAATCAAAGATTCTGTTATAAAAACACAAAAAGAAACTCTACAAAAGAAAACAGAAAGCCTAAAACCTTGGATGGCTCAAGAAATTCTGGAAGTCATGGAACAAAGAAGAAAATATAGAAATAAAAACGCAAATAAGTACAGAGAAAAATATAAATTAATAAGAAACAAAATAAAAGAGGCTAAGAAAAAGTGAATGATGGAAACATGCATCGACGTGGAAGAATTGCAGAAAAAGCATTACCATTATAATTTACATAAAAAAGTGAAAAAAATTGACAAAAACAATAAACCTATTAATACCTCAATTGAAATCAAACAAGTATGGATTAAATATATTGAAGATCTTTTCATGGACACAAGAACGGAATCAACACAAACTAATAATGAGGAAGCTCCAGTAATATTAAAATCTAACGTCCAACATGCTATAAACAACTAAAAATCTGGCAGAGCCCCTGGGCCAGATGGAGTTCGTATTGAGCCGATTCACTTATAGACGAAAACAATTTATAAGTGCAATAACTATACTCTTTAACAACATATACAAAACTGGTGAGATACCTACAGAATGGCCGCTATCGACCTTTGTTCCGCTACCAAAAATCAAGAACCCCAAACACTTTAATGACTATAGATTATTCAGCTTAATGTCACACTTATTAAAAACATTTTTAAATATTATACATGCAAGAATATTCAGAAAGTGCGAAGCTTATATGAGTAGTAGACAGTAGTGGCTTTCGTAACGGCTTCGGAACAGTCGAAGATCTGTATAGTTTCACAACTTTTGTTCAAAAAACAAAAATATCTTTTCGTTGCGTTTATATACTAAGAGAAAGCTTTCGACAAAGTTAAACATAACATTCTCATGGAATGTCTAAAGAGAAAAGGAGTCGACAAAAATGACATTAACATAGAGAAATCTCTATTGGAACCAACAGGCTGTGGTAACATTAGATGGAAATAGCACAGATGCGCAACAGATAAGTAGAGGAGTGAAACAGAGCTGTGTACTTTCAATAATATTTAATACATATTCTGAAGAATTATTGCTGACAATACAGTTATTATCGCTGAAAGTAAGACAGACCTGCAGACGTTACTAAACACAATTTGTAATGCTGAGGAACAGTTTGGTTTAACAATAAACATAAAGAAAACAAAAACCATGGTTATCAGTAAGAGGGACAAAGTCATTACAAGGACACAGATCAAAAAATGAAGATATTGAGCAAGTGGACAAAATGAAATACTTAGGCGTCTGGATTACGGAAGATCTGAATCCTAAATCAGAAAGTTGCTGAGTAACCTAATACTCAAGGAAGTTGAGGAAGATGAGGAAATTTCTGAGTAACCTAATACTCAATCTGCAAAAATGTTATATCTACTCTATTCTTTATGGTGTCGAAGCCTGGACTGTTAATGTTGACTTAATGAGAAAACTGTAAGCTTTTGAGATGTGGCTTTTTCGAAGAATTTTGAAGACACCATGGACCGATCATATTACAAATGAAACGGTATTGCACAGAATGGGAAGAGACAGAGAACTTTTGACCACCATTAAAAGGCGAATGACAGCATGTTTGGGGCACATATTTAGAAATGATAAGTACGAGTTGTTGCAGCTGATTACGAAGGGTAAAATCGAAGTAAAATGGGTCCTGGTAGACGACAAATGTCCTGGCTGAAAAACATTCGCGACTGGACCGAGTTAAACACACAGACGCTCTTAAGAAAAGCAGAAGATAAAGACAAATTTGCAATGGTTGTAGCCAACCTTTATTAGTGGAGACGGCACTAGAAGAAGAAGAAGATACCTGCGACATTTGGGTTATGGGGCCATTGTTGCAATAAGGGAAAACCAAACACTAAAGTCGTGTCCTTTGACTAGCAAACAAGATTTTAAAAAAAGTACGTGGAAACTATGAACAAATTATTGAAAGAAACGACGGCGTCTTTTTGCTGTGTTGGATGGATAATTCAGTTGTTACTTTAACATCACTAAACGCCGGAGTTCAGCCAGAAGGGACAGTCAAAAGATACTGCCACAAAAAAAAACATATGATTGTATCTCGTCTAAATTGCGTGGCAGCTTACAACCAAATCATGGAATGACTGACCTAATAGATCAGGTATAGTATATGATATGGTATAGTACTGATAGATACAATATCAGGCTTACCGTACTGGACGAATTCGCGGCAAAATGTGGTTTTGGCTAATTTTTAGATAGCTTATCGATGCAATTCAAAATGCCTGTTACCTTTACAGTAAAAATAATAAGATATTATCATTGAATTTTAGACAAAAAATAGTACAAGTATATTTAACAATGTACAAAATGCTCGCTAAGATTCCTGGACTCTGAACGTGTCAGCATAAATAGAAATTTACTTTCAGACCTTAGGAGAAGGATATAACTCTTTTGGAAGCACAATATGTTAGAAACGTAACAACGTACAAATTAATTTTGAAGTTATGGTCAAAAAATTATCGAATTTTTTTTAGTGAAAATGTTTTGTTTTAATTATAATTGAATAAAAAAAATATTTTCAGTGGCCCAGAAGTGTCCCAGACGAGCGCGTACAAAATTACCAGTAAGGCGCGCCCGTGTCTGAGACGGGCACATACGTTAAGGGGTTAATGGGCTAACGCATCCGTTTCATTCCTTTAATACATTCTCAAAATCCATCTAATACAATAACATTAAACTAGAACAATAACAAAAAGTACCACCAATATAATTTTAAATAGCGCAGCTACTAAAAATAAAAATATTCAAAATTACGCCCCTGAAACGTGATACAATTCTTTTTAATGCCTACTCCGAAGAGATACTGAAAAAAGCTCTTGAAGGTGAAACAACTGGATTAAAGGTAAATGGAGTTCCCATTAACAACATTAGATATGCGGACGACACTGTGATCTTAGCCGAAAATATTGAAGATCTTCAGAGACTGGTGACCAGAATAGCGGAAAAGAGTACGCTCTAACAATAAACGTCAAGAAGACGAAATTTATGAGAATATTGAAAACTCAAAGAAATAACGAGAATCAAGGAGATCAAAATCAGAATAGAAAATATTAGAGCAAATTTCAACAAAATGAGAAGAGTGCTATGTACAAGGGATTTAAAATTGGAACTAAGAGTTAGGTTGGCGAGATGTTATGTTGTTTCGACTTTGTTTTATGGAATTGAATCTTGGACCTTAAATGCGACAGCAATGAAAAAACTGGAATCATTCGAGTTGTGGGTGTATAGAATTTTGAAAATATGGTGGACAGAACACGTCACAAACAAAGAGGTTCTGAAAAGGATGAATAAAAAAATAGAAATTTTAAATACAATTAAAACAAGAAGATTGGAATATCTCGGACATATTACATGTGGAGAGAAATACACCTTGCTCCAATTTATTATGCAGGGAAAGATCCAAGGAAAGAGAAGCATAGGGAGAGGTAGAATGTCATGGCTGCGCAACCTGAGTGAGTGGTACGGATGTACATCAAATGAACTTTTCAGAACAGCCGTCTCAAAAGTCCAAATAGCTATGATGATTGCCGACCTCCACCGCGGAGATGGCGCTTGAAGAAGATATTACATTGCTGGGAGGTAATTTTGAACATTTTTTGTAGCTATGCGCCTATTTTTTAAAATTATATTAGTGGTACTTTCTGTTATTGTTCTGGTTTAATGTTATTATATTAGATAGTTATTGAGAATGTATTAAAGGAACGAACAATATGCGTTAAGATGTTTGATTTTTTTTGCATAAAAACGTTGCCTCATGAAAAAAATAATAAATATTGGTTGACAAAATTTTTATGAACAATTCAAAAACATTTTTAGTTTGAAAAATTAGTGGTGTACCATTTTTATTTCTTTAATAATATTGAATCGTTACAAAAGTTTCAACGCCTTGGAAAAGGAAGCATTTGCAGGCATACGTTTATAAGAAAACTGTCATTATTTTTCATGCAAAATTATTCCCTGAAGTTATTTGCACGTATTTACTAAAACTCTATATATTTTATAAATATGTATTGTCAAAAGGACTAAAAATCGAGACTTCTGTAACTCAGAAACAATTGATTTCTGTGTCTTGACGCACGGATACCTTTTGATCAGCATGGTCAAAGCTACCTCTTTGCAAAGTTTCAGCCAATGTGAAACCACTTTTACTCTGTCTTTAAGAAAAACCATTTAGCTGTGGATGTGTGTCTGATAGCAGGGCTGTTGTATCAGATTTTTTCAGTTTCTAGAGAGAATGGAGGTAATGATTTGAAGTAATGGTAACAATATAGGACATATCTTAAGGAATATTTGCATATATAACCAACAAAAGGTGAAGAAAAAGTCCAATAAAAGGATGATTACAGAAGTAGCAATAGCAGATTTTTATTTTTTTTGTTGTATACTTTGTTCTTTTTATTTCATTAAAACTAAAACTTTCCACATTTTTAGACAAAAGATATTTCATCTCCCTAAAGAATAAGAATAAATTGTTAGAAGATATTTCTCCAGTATTATATATACAATCCGACTGTGATACCCCTATAGGAAGGGATTATTTGGTTAAGGAACTATCCAAATATATGCAAATTGATAGTTATGGCAGCTGTTTAAAAAATAAGAACTTTCCATTGGGGTAAGATTGATAATATTAAATACACATATTATATAGATATATAATAAGATATATATATATATATATATATATATATATATATATATATATATATAATAATAATAATAATAAAACACTAAAAAACTTTGTTTTCAAAACTTCCATAAAATTTATTATATGTTATCATATATTTATACAGCTGTTCGGGCAGAGTGCCTTTCTGAAGTGATCTATTTTTGATATGTGTTTACGCTTTATAGTCTTTAACTGAATAGGTTGAGGAGGAGAGAACTGTTTGTCTCAAGTTATTCATTCATGACCAACTAATAAATATATATACTAATAAAAATACCTTAATAGACAGAGAATTCAGATTCTACAAGACAAGTAACACCAACAGTAAATAAATCAAGGAAGTGATGAATTTTACTTACTTAATAATCCTTGTTTACCTTGGCGGGTTTGTCATTCGATGTTTTGGAGTAGAAGCCTCTCTAAATGTCGCAGTTATTGGCCATCGAATCCGCTTCTCTCCAACTTTTTCCTCGTCTTTTCAACCTTGCTATTCCACGTGCTTGCTGGTTGCCTCTTCTTCGTTTTTTGTCGACTATTGCTTGCCACACTTGCTTTATTTTTTATTATCATCCATACGGACCAAGCAAGTTGTCTTTGTTCTACTTTGTCCAAGACCGATAAAACATTACACTGTGCCTGTATAAAATAGTCCCTGTCACTTTAAAGTCCACGTTTCTGAGCCTGTTATACTTTTATTTTGGTGCTGATAATGATCTCCTTTCTTCAAGTAAACGCCTTGTTTAATGCGTAGCAAACTTTAGCCGTATTCGTTACTCTATTGTTGATTTCCGATTCCATTTCCCCATGATGAACTTTAATCAGGCAGAAAAAGGCTGTATTTTTTAATTTATACCTAAGAAGACCTATCGTCTTGTCTAACAATGACCAATTTCCAAGCTGAACTTTATTTTGTTTATTTTAACGATATGGGGAACACGATAATATTAACGCCCAAAGCTGTGTAACATAACATATTCATACGAATGTCAATACATATTTTAACTGGAGCATAAAGGCAAAGGCTTATTCAAGCCTGTTTTAAATTAATTTGTGTTAGTTTACAAAGTAATTATTTAAATATTTGTAGATATTTCTATACTTTTACATTATATAATTTTTTTAGATTATCTGAGCTATATCCTTTGGATGTTTACAACGAAAAGTATATGGAATTTATATCAAAATACAAATTCATAATTTCATTTGAAAATGCAGCATGTAAAGATTATGTATCTGAAAAATTTTGGAGGCCGCTAATAGTGGGCAGCATACCCATATATTTTGGAGCAACTAACATTAAAGTACGTATAAAAGGCAGTATAAATTTGGTGACTCAACAATTAAATTTTTGAATTTTTTTTAGGAATGGCTTCCCAACGAAATGTCAGCCATTTTGGTAGATGATTTTAGAGATATGGGATCACTTGCTGATTTTATAAAAAAAGTTAATGCAAACGATACACTTTATTCCAGTTTTTTGGAACATAAGCTTTCAGGAAAAATAAGTAATGAACGCTTGAAGAAGGAAATCCTTACAGAACATCCTATACCAGAGTTTGAGTGTTACGTCTGTACACAAATACACGAAAATCGAAATTTTAAAAGAAGAAATATGAATGTCTATGATTGCCCCAAACCAGTTCCTAGAGATACTGAAAAAAATACGTGGGATCAACATTGGGATATAGGCAGGTGTCAGTCTAAGGCATTACATATGCTAGTAGGCAAAAATGAGTTATTCAGTGAAGAGGTTTTTGAAGAAACATGGAAAAATCTATATTACAATAGGAATTGTTATTTGTAGAATATTTTAGAACTGATTATTAGATGTTACAAAGTTCATATGAGGTTACTTGAGAAGGTAATAAGTAAAAAAGGTTTCTTGCTACTATCACAAGCGTGGGCACCGTTCACCACTGTTTCAAGGTGGTTACATCTACCTTCTTGCAAATTTTACAACGCCAATCTGTTTTAAAATGTCTTATATAATTTTTTTCTCGATAGATAGTATTTTCATGTTCACTTTCGTCGAACAATAGACTGTTTTTTTTATTCATTTGATGATAATTTGATCTTAATCTAGTCTAAGTATGAAAACCTGCGATTTTTAATATTTTTATCACTTATTTTTCAACGTAGATCCATTTTTTGCTCAAAGTATTAGGCAAGATGCTTTTATATCTGTTTTATACTTTCAAAAATGTATTTTTTTTTATCATTCGTTATAAATTATCCTCTTCCGAGCCATTTTTATGTTTGAGACCATGAAATAGCCACATTGCGCTAAAACTAGGAAATATGATGGATGTTTGATAAATTCGTATTCCAATTGCTCTAATGTTGTCTGTGCAATGGTTACTATGTGAGTCGATGCGTAGCGTTGAATAAAGAGAATAGTTTTGCGTGATAACGCTTCCAATTTGTATTTATCGTAAGACTTCGTCCCTTTTAGCTAACATTTATTATTATTATTTGGAATTAAATACAAAATAAAAAAAATATTTGTTATCTATATATCTATTATCCCAATTTATTTATTCCCTTTCAAATCGAAAAACTACCAAACATCAACAAAACAAGATATAAAATATATTCTTTATTATTTAAATTACATACTTGGATTCACCGTTGAAATAAATCAATTACAAATCACTTTTAGGTCATTTTTTCTCCAATAAATTATTAGTGATGTCACAAGTCATACATTTGATTTGCTATAATCATAGATAACCGGAATGGGCCTAAAAAACTAACAGTGACGTCACATGAATGTCTCTAAATTAGCCCAACAGAAAACTTCTGTTCATTTTGAATCTTTTTCTAAATTTTTGTATATATTTTGGTGGCAGTTAGTCATTTTTTATCCCTTTATTTCTGCCATTGTGTTTCATCGGTTTGTTTGCCCATTGATTGTTCTACGTATCTAATTCAATTAAAATTATTTAATGGAGTTGAAGTGAATTCTTTCTGTATTAAAACATGACTTGTAACCTCACTACGTTATAGTACATTTATTATTTTTTTAATAAATCACAAATCTCTCAGCTTGCCGACTGTCATAATATAATAATATTGCACATGTAAACTTTGAAATGATTCAAAAACAAACTGTACATGCAAGCTGACAGACCTTGGTAAAAATCACACTTTTTTATTAGTATATTCTTTACTAGAATCAGATACTTCAGAAACGCAAAGTACAAACGTCATTAATTCTGATAAGAATATAATTTTAAGTGCGGCACAACATTATGGCAACGAGTAATACATTGTATATTACTAGTTGCCTAAAATTACCACATTTGTCCTTACTAACGTAGTATTGAGAGTATTAGAATTAATTTTTGGACAAAAGTTCAGGTAGCAAAACTATAGATGTGTTCTATTAGAAGATTCTGGTGATAGTTTCAATATTTCATACGGCTAAAGTTGCAAATATCTATATAATTATACTAACTAGTTTGACTTATTTATTTTTCAAGTATTCTGATTCTAGTGGATCCTAGGAGGTACTTTGAAGTACAATAGTACTTCTTCCATATCGCCTATAAATTTGCTAAGGTTTTTTTATCACAAGTTATACACGGATAAAACTGAAAATAAAGTACAAAAAATTTAAAAAGAAAACTTATATTTCGGGTGCATAAATCATAATCGCAAAACAATTTTCGTCATACGTCATAGACATTTGTTATCTAAATTTATGATGCTGTTGCTGACGTGAAATATGACGTACAACGACATTTGTCTTGCGTTTACTGTACTAAAAATTATTTCAAACAGTCCAATGGTTGCTCCTAATTGAAAACGAGAGTGCCTAATGTTTTTGTTAAATATCAGACTTAAGCATAAAAAACTGAAGGTACTACCAAATAAATGTCTTTAATTACTAAATGGAATAAGTTATGTCGCTATATATAGGAGAGGATAAAACACTCCTTTATAAACGAGGACATTAATGTGGAAGACGATAACTAATACGTATTGATTGTTATAGGTGTAGATAACAATGTAACAGGTATACTAGAAATCCGGTCGATAGGAATAAGTTACTTTTTTAGTAATATAATATATTGAATGATCATTTTATTTTTGCAGGTATTTTTCGTACATACATGGTGGTCCTTAAGTAATTGTACAAAAAGAAATCGTAGATTATAGACTTTAAAATATTACGATTTAAGCCAAATTGCTTTAATAAAATGTTGATATTAAGAAAGATACAGGGTGTTAAAGAGGAAATTTAAAATTGTATTTTTGCTATAACTTTCATGTTTGTAAACATTTATGTATAAAAACTTACAACTGGATACTATTGAATATCAGGAATTATAACTTGATGCATACTTTGATTTAGCCGATAGAGGCCGCCACATATGATACATATGTGGCATACATTTACACTTAACTTTTTTGCTGTTTAAGTTATCGGTATTTTTGATAAAAAATAATAAAGATGCATTATTTTAACAAAAAAGGTATACTTGTTAATAACATCAAAACTCAACAGTTTTCGAGATTTCGCATTTTACAAATCAACTGCATACTTCTGATTTAATGCAATTACTCCAGGCAACGAAAGAAAATTAGAGAAAAACATGAATACTTCTGAATTTTGGTATAAAATACCTTTAATAAAGTTATAAGTTAACGAAATATTAAATAAAATAAATATATCAGCAGGATAATTGGACGTAGTTAAGCAGAAAACGTCCAACCCAAAAAAAGTGATTGTTGGGAAATTGAGTTTAAAAGATTTTAGTGTGCCCTAGCTAAACTATGCATAATTTATTCGCCTGGCAATGATTTTAAGATAATGATATTCATCTCGTAGGCACCTCGTTTGTAATTTCTTTTAAATGTAAGTTTCAATGAAGTTATTTTGAAAATTTTAGGTTGGACGTTTTTAACAAAAAACAAAAATCCGAAAAAAATTTCGATAAAAACATACTTATGTGGGTTGGAATCTTTCAGATAAATAAATAATGTCATATTTTTATAAAAATTTTAATGATCCAAAGAAACAAAATTACAATGATTTTCTTATGTAAATGTAAATTTAAAAAAAGTTTTAATTATTGTGGGTATCTACCTCAAAATCTAGAACTGGAACATTAAATCCATCAACGTCTTCGACTACATTAGCACTTGTAAAATTTTCATAAAACGGTTTAGCGTCTGAAGGAATTAGATGTAAATAGCTTTTAATATCGTTAATTTTATCCTCTGACAGGGGTTTACCATTGGGCCAGAGTTGCATAAGCAGCGCCGAAAAGCTCTCTGTATTTAATCGTCCTCGTCGCTCAATATCCAAACATACACTTTCATCGCCAAAATAACTAGGTTTCATAAAGATGTGGTAAGGATTTTCTTTTGTTAATATAATTTGTTTTGTCTCCAACCAATTTATTTTTTCTTTATTGGTGCCAACTTTTCTGTTTATTGTGGCCTTCTCGAGCTGGTGGGTACTCAAAAACCATTCCTTTTTCATTTGTGTAGCTGTTATTGGAGACTTTTTACGACATGAATTTATTATATTTATATAGTCTAAAGGTGTATATATTCGTTCTTGACGTTTGAGTTGACATTCTATATCCCCAAAATCTTTATCATTTGGTAGAAAACTATGGCCGGAAATCAGGAATTTAAATGTTATAGTTTTTATATTATGGCTGGTTTGAAGAAGACTGGCCATGAGGAGTGTTATTTTAATATTACGGTTCTGGCCTCCACAAGAATCAGACCACAATATAAGATGTTCAACAGTACTTTCTATGTTTTCTAAATATTTTACAATACAGGAACCAACCTCCTGAGCTCCTCTTCCAGCAGTTCCTTCAAGCCATACATAGGAATAACTCTTATTACGTTTGCCTGAAAATACACCGAGATTATACAAGCAAACTTGCCTCTTATAATATATTACATTGGTTGGAATTTTGGGTAAAGGTAGAGTTTTTTTGAAGATCGTATGTTAAACACTCTACATTATCCTCATCTTTAGCTCGTTTTAAATCTGCCTTTAATGTTTCTCGTGATTTTTGGGCCAAATCCTGATGAGTGTCGAGTTCAATTTGTAAAAGTTGCTTTTTATGATCATCCGTTTCATTTTCTAGTTTTATTTTAAATGAATCACATACCTGGCATGTGTCCTTCTTGGGAACATTAAATCTCAAATTAAATTTTTCGTAAAAAATCCTCTTATAAATACCAAATTTCACAGGGTTTTGAACTTCAGATTTGTATAGATCATAAATCTTTAATAATGAGAGATGTGCCGGTAAAAATAATGCAGACGTGTTTTCACGACAGTAGTGCGATATGTACTTAGGCAGTTTATTGATCTGGTTGATTATTTCCTGAATTTTATTTTCAGGGACTTTGTTTAAACCACCTTGTTTTCTACCTCTTTGATCAAGAATTGGAGCACGATTGTTTACCTTTCTCAGAGCTGTTGTTACTCTTGACGGAGTTATTCTAAGACTATTGATAAACATTTGCCTACAAATACGCTGATTAAGTAAGGAATATTGTCTGGAATACAGACGTCTTTCAGTGTTTCTTCCATACATTCTTTTTTTCGGCATTTCGTGGATATTATTGGCAATAAAGATAGTTTGGGCATTATAAGACCCAAGACTCCAAAAACGATCAAATTCTTGTTTTCGTGACTCTGTAGAAATCAACTCAGAACATTTCATCGGGCAGTTACAATTGTAGTCATATTGAAATTCTTTAGCAGCTTTCAATTTTCCTTTGTAGTCAATGTAAGATTCATTTTTGTTCCTATTAATCTTTGATGTTGCTCGCGTCATTGCAAATTTCTTTTTTCTACCCTTCTTTGGACGACCTGATGTACTGGCTAAAAATGGATTATCATCACAACTTTCATTGTTATCGGAACTCTCTTCATGTGACGATGGTATAAACATATCAGAGGAACCGCTACTAAAGACATCACTTATTGACATATTCTGTAAGAATAAAAAGGTAGGTATTATTAGATAATATTTTAAATAAAAATTTCAAAAAATTATAGAAAGCGTCTATTTTAATTAAAGAAGTTAACTTTTAATCAATTACCAGGTACCAAAAAATAAAACAAATTCAATTCATTCAAATTAATCTTTTTCATAAAGTTTACTATAGGTACTCATCGAAAAATAATTTTCATATGCTTTACATTATTGTATAATTACTTTAATCAATAATAATTGATGATCATAATAATAGGTATCAATTTAACATTGGTATAATAAGATTAATACATATGTGTTTACAAAATTGTGTGTACCTAAGGAAGTTGTATTTTTTCTTTTAGATTGTAACAATAGGTACATCAAAGTTTAGTTTTCATTAAATAGAAATAATATAGCGAATAGCATTATAAAGCATTTTACTAAACAGTATAGGTACAAAGATTTAATACTTACATCATAATCATCAACAGAATCTATGGTAGAAGCTGATTCAAAACATCCAGTTTTCTCGTTTAAAACCATTTCACGAAT